TTTGTGTGGTTTGCGGTTTGGTTTTGACCCGTTCGCATCTATGCGGATCGCAACCGCCCACAGTGTGGTTTGCGATTTGTGTGGATAGGGTTCACGAATGTGGGGCGGTTGTGGGCGGCTTGCGGATTGAACTTTTTCCTTTAGAAATTTATTTTTGGATCTATTTTTTCCCCATTTTCTAAATATTTATTTTGTGCATTTTCTCCTTATTTTCTAAATATTATTTTAGGGCCTAAAATCACATATTTTTTTTTATCATAAAATCATTATTTTTGAATCTTTTTTTATTCATAATATTTTAATCTTAGAGATTCAGAAATTGATAATCCATACTTTAAAAAAAAAAAAAACAGTTCCACTTATTTATATAAATAAAAGAAGTTCAATTTACTAAAAAAATATATTATATATTATGTATGTGTATATATACACAGCAATTGTAAGTATATAATATATATATCTATTAATATGGAAGGTTAAGATTATCCAGAATTTTATGAAAAAAAAAAATGTAAGTGCGGGTGCGGGTGAAATTCACGACCCGTCCGCAACCCGAAACATGAAAATATTTCAAACCGTATCCAATCCTATTGCATGTTCAAAATCGCCTGCACATGCGTAGATCGGATCGGATTAAAATGTTTTCGTGGGTCGAATGAGCCCATACTTAGCCCTAAGAATAATCATTATTTTTTTTTACTGAACGCATATTTGGACAAAATGATTATTCCATTTCAAATTTCATTCTAGTGCTGCTAAAATTTACCAAATTCATTTGAAAAACAAAACACAAACTTTTTATATGACTTGTTTATCTCGTGTGAGAAGATTGTGTTTAATTATATAATTCAATAAGGTAAAAATGAAACTGCTGAAAGGTATATGGGCAGGGCCGGCTCAACCACATGTGTGGCCTAAAGCAAAAAATTGAAGTCAGATTGTTTTCGTTTTGTTTTCTTCTTTCTTAGGCCAAGAACACGTTGAAATAGATTTTTATTAGAGATGAAAGAATACAAGTTTGATGAAAGGATATTGAGTTTTTTTACTAAAATTTCTATCAAATTTAAATTTAATGCAAGATTGGAGATGCTCTAATCCAATTTATTTATTATTTCATATTATCATGTCGTATTCATATGTCTTGTCAATAAATTTTATTCTTAGTTAAAAATGTCAAGTGTATGAAAAAATTAAAATTTTTCCCTCAAGTTAAATTTAGTGAATTTAATATTTACTGAATGAAATTATTAATAAGAATATTTGATTCCAACTAAATTTTTATTTTCATAATTTATGAGTGTGAGAAAGTGGGAGATAGACTTTTACTGGTACACAAATGATATGAATCTATATTAAATCACTAATTTTCTACCAATTACACGTATGAATGTGGTCTTACATGGGCTGCAAAGGGGGAATGGAATTGTTTATCTTGAAGGTGACTATCAAGTGCGGAATGTCTCATAATTTAGGCAGATTTCTAGTCTCAAATTCTTTCTTAGTAGCTTTCTCTGTTTTTATTCCTTTTGCTTCTACAAACCACATGGGCTCTGGCCACTGTAATTATTCTAGAGAAATTAAAAATCAGTCTTATTTTTTCAAAATAATAATTATAGAATCATGAAAAAAAATTCTGACTTTAAATTAGTGTTATGAGAAGTTTATAAAATTTATCATTAATCTGATTTTTTTTACCCCTAAAAATCTATTGATTTGCTATTTCTTCATTTTTAATTTTTCCATTAATAGGCATTTTTACTTGTGTCTAAAAGTATATCATTGGATAATGGTTATATGTAGTATTTTTCATTAATATTCGCATTCTATCGTGAATTGTCAATGAATTCGCAAGTTTGCAGATTGGAGCGTGGTTGTCGTCTAACCCCTTACTTTTTCAAAAGGTGTCAAAATTTTAAATTGCCTTGCATGGCTTTTGATCTGTGTTTATCGCGGTTCAGTTGCATCTTAATAACAATCTTTTACTGCAAAATATTGAATCTCTTAAACATGAATATCACAGAAACAGGGGATGATATTGTAACTGATGATGAATTTGATTTTGTATCACCCAAACAATCACATCACATGATGGACCAATTTTGTGAGTTTGAATCATAAACTGGTTAGTAGTAGTAGTAGGAAGTATAATAAGGATGTGGATTGTAGCCTTGAATGTATGGAGCCAAAGCTAACTGGGTTGGTGTGTCTTCTTTCTTTTCCTCTGCTTTGGGCTTCACTGCCTCCACACTTTCTATGCTGGCATGTTTGCTCACCTTCCTCCTTATTGACTTGGTCAACTTAACTGAATCAATATCTCCAATTACCTCTATACTATCCCCTTTTATTGCCACTGAGGTCACACCTATGTAAGAGAATCAATCAATAACTAATTCATTAATTGAAAAAGCTATAAAATGTCTTGATCATTTAATTATGTCTCAAGATTTTTATTTCTTGAGACTTTCGTTCGATCCTACATGACTGTAAAGTGATTGATAGAAACTATACCAAACATGCACTATTTACACAAAATAAATAAATAAATTGAAATAGAGTGTTAATATGATGCATATATATATATATACCTTCTGCGACACAAGCAATCTGCATGGCTTTTGATCTATTTTTATCGCTACTCAGTTGCATCTTAATAACAATTTTTTGCTGCAAAAAAATATTAAATCACAAACATGCATGTCACGTCAGTACTCAAGCTATATATATATATATATATAATTAAGCCTTGTTTGTCATCTACAATATAATCCATCTTTTTATCTTTTTATCTTTTTTCCATCACATCACCTCTCTACTTTTCTGCACATCTTTTCGTAAAAAAACAAAAAGTGCACTTTTTTAGGACACCCCAAACCAACCCTAAGTTTGACTGGCACTTGAACATGTACCTTCCATATTAGTCAGATCCTAGTTCTTCCCCTTTTACTTCTTTAGATGGGTCTATACTTTTAAGTACTCCAATTGCAACTGTTTTTGTTGACCTAATGATACTTTTTAAAACAGCTATATCCCTCACCTGTAAATCAAGATTTAACTACTTAAATAATTATATATTTACAATTAATAAATAATATTTAAAAAATAAACTAGTACAAAGTGTCAGAGTGAAAATGATCACAACTGAAAGTGATATGCATTTCTCAATTAGATAAGCAAGCCAAATGATTTACTCACTTAATTGATTCACCACACTACAACAAATTATATAAAAGTAACAACTGTAAATCTTTAGACTATATTAAACAATAGCTTAAAAAATCAATAATAACCAAAGACACCAATCTAACAACAATCAAAACCATACCCATTATCAATATCAGGATCCCCTAAACTCAACAATATAAATCAAATATAACTGTAAAAAATGACAATCAATTAATTACTTTCAAGTAGGATTTGTTCTCTATAAATTGTCAAAAAAATAATGAGTTCCAACACTACCCAACCAAACACCACCAATTAACATACTGCCCACAAAATCCAAACTAAACTAAAACAATTATTAATATAAATAAACTGGAATTTGGGATAGAGCAAAAATTCCAGCAATAATATTAAAAACCACAGGAAACAAATGTGAATTATTTAACATTTAAAATGTGTAAACCAATAAAAATAAGAATAAGCATGAGAAATGGATAGAAGATGTTTCTTACCTAAAATCAAAAATAGTCCTTCTAACACCAAAGGCACCACCTATTTACACCAACATAAGAGAAAACATAGTACAATTTTAAAGAGATTAAAAAAAAAATACACCCAAATACCGTATAATACACCCAAAATAAATAAAATCTACAGGGAAGAAATATATAAGAAGCTTAAGAAATTAAGGGAGAACATTTCTTACCTGAACAAAAGAAAAGTATTCCTTCCAACACCATGAATCAAATAATCACCTTTTCACTCACAAAATCATAAGAAAATTATAAACATAAGAAACATAAATCATAAAAAAATTATAAGAAAATTAAAAACATGAATCATATTTATTAATAAGATGATGAGCCATGAATCACATTGGAATGGAAACCACCCACAGAATCACAATGGAAAAATTACCCATTACTCGTTAATAAAATTTATGAACTAAAGTTAATTAGAGAAACTCTTATTAACTTTAGTTGATAGTTAAAGTTAGAAACAGGAGCAGCCTCATTTTTGCTTGATTTCCCTTATTTCTTACCTATTCATGTATTAGAAGCCCCTGAAACCCATTAAAGAGAAACCCATAGAACTCATTTCATAGAAAGAGACCCATTTCACAACTATTTCACAGAAATCATTAGGAATGCTTTTTGTGAAGAAGCAAGATCATGCCTCACACATTCATTAAGTGAAGAATATTAGGCATCAGAGCACTCAGATTACAAGTATTCACAAAGCATGAGGACCAAAGTCCAAAAAACAGAGTTCTCATGTCTACTACAATTTGCTAGAATGCTAATGACTAATATCCGAAATCAAAGATGGAAACCATTTGATAAACCCATTTCAGATTCAGAAAATAAAAACAGAAACTATCTAGGAAACCCATTTCAAAGAAATCACACCATTTCATAACTGAAATCAAATCATTTCGAAACTATTTCACTCATAGAAACCCATTTCAGAAAATAGAGAGTGAAATGGAAGTTTCGTTACCTGTATGGAAATGGTGTGATGGTAGTGATCCAATGGTTCGACGAGACAGAAACAGGGTAAGCTTGTAGAGATGTTTCATGTGAAAGATGGTCTCTTTGATGCAATGATAGTGGTCCGTTGGCCTTTGGGTGTCATGAATCGGTAGTCCAGGCGATTCTTGTCGATGATATGTAATCCATCATCGGAGCCATAGAGGACGGAGAAAGAGGCAGAGACCCCCAAAAAAAAAAAAAATAGGGAAAAAACCCTAGATGGTTGTCTGTGTATCCTCTTTTCTTGCGTTTTCTCGTCTCTAAGAAAATTGAATTATGGCTAATGAAACAAAAAGAGAGGCAAAACAATTGAAAAGGAAGAGTGATATTGTGATTTAAAAAAAATATAATGGCACTTAATTAAAAAGTGACATAATAAAGTAAATATAATTATATTTTTATTAAAATGTGTGATTAAAAAAATATATATAAATGTATATATATATATAATCACACTTAATGAAAAAGTGACATAAAAAATAAATAAGATAAATTATAAATATATTCCTTGAGATTTGATTAAAATACAAATTGCCCCCTGTGATTTTGAAAATTACATTCCACTTCCTGAGACATCTTTTGATAAATGTCATTAAAATAATTTCTTGTGTCATTCTTTCATAAAATGCCATAAAATTGATATTTAAAATTAATTTTATTTTAATTTATTATATTATATGAGATATGTAATATTTACTATTGATTAAACAAAATTAGTGTTACTTTATTAATATATTAGTCATTTTGATTAATATATAATATACGTTTGTTACTCTATTTTTGATTGTCTGAAGTAATTCTTAGATAAATTAATTATTATATATCGTGATGATTTATTTAATGTATGATAGTTTTTTTAAAATTTTCAATAATGTGAAAATATAAATATTTTTAATGATGTTGAAGTAAGATTTATATACACAAACTAAATAAAAATATTAAGAAATACAATCAATAATAATTTTTTTTAGTGATTATGGGTGAACACTAGTATCTATACTAAATTCAAAACTCTCCAAAACCTCCATACTAATTTTTCAAAGAAAGTTCACATTATCTCTCTATGTGGCAATTCTTGAAATCTCCTAGCTCATTTTCCTTTATTTTTTAATTTTTGATAAAATAAAAAGTTAAATAAAAATTAAAATAAAATTTAGATAAAGATATGATTCGTTAATCTATATCTACAAGAAAACATTTGTATCTAAATCTTCATTTTTATTTACTCCAATTTTTCCTCTCCGTCTATCACATATATTAAAAATTTGATATAATGAAATTAAAATAAGATATGATTTTTAATTATTTTTCAATCTATAACTACACTATTATATAAGCAAATGTAATATGTTCTAAAAAAATTTAAAATGATTATTCGTAAATTTTCATAATTTTAATATTTATTCTTTCTACTTAGCAATCCCTTTTGATTGTCTTTCATTTTTTTTTTTTGGCTTCATTTTTTAATTATTAAAATAATTTTCCAGTGGAAGTTAATTTCATAGCTATAGATAAGATATAAATTTCAAGGTGAAAATTTATTTAAGTTATTTTATTTTCTTATGTTATCTTATTTATCTTTAAATTTGAACTTAAATTTTTATTTTCTTCATAACTCCCTCTCTCTTGGAGTTTATCTTCTATTGACCATGATTGTTATTTAAATTTCCCAT